GGTCCACCGAGCTGTCTGTGAAGTATGATGCTGCATCGGCCGGTGTTCAGTGGCTCTGGGTTCCTGAGTGTCAATGCTTCCGGAAAATGGGCATGACGGGTGGAAACACATTCCCTCTCCCTCCAATGGGATGTTCCCGTCCCTGAAGCACTGAGTGTTGGGAACCCTCCTTGGGTGGGTGTCGAGGTGTAGCAGCTAGGCACTCCTGATTCCAGTGGTTGACAACGTGTGTCTTGCGCATACCTCGTTGTGGCTGTCATCCCTTCACTCGTTTCCAGAAAGGGTTTTCCTCCTGGTAATGAAAGCTTCTCACCAAAGTCCTCCGTATCGCCTAAAGTCTGAAGTTGCTCCATATGATCTTTCATATTCTGCATCATTGCCGTCAATTGGGTGAGCATCAGCTGTTAATCCCCCGATTACCCTGGCTGTGTGAGTGACCGGTTAGCATTTCCGTCGTTCAGGGCCTCCAGGTCTTCTCTGCTGGTTTCCTCTGCCTTGTTTCCTTCCATGACTGGTGACACAGTGAACTCGATTTGGCTCTTTCGGTGGACAGCTATAGAGACGTTCGGTTAAGCAGGAACGCTCTTCAACTGACACGTCTGCTTGTTTATAAAGATGTCATATAACTGAGGTTATACAAATGATGTCATACAATCTGAAGTCATGTAAGCGATGTCATACAACTGAAGTCGTATAAGCGATGTCATACAACTGAGGTAATATAAGCGATGTCATACAATCACGACCACAGTGGTGACACACGAGCGATGTCCCTCAAACGTGTGAAGTGCACTACGCACGAGTGATGTCACACAAACACAACCACAGTGATGTCATACACGAGCGACGATGTCACATTAACGCGCCCACAGTGATGCCACACACGAACGACGTCCTTGCTTGAATACTGAAATAGATACATTCCATTGAATGTATTCTATTTCGTATTTTCAACCAGTAATACAACTGAAGTAATATAAGCGATGTCATACAATCACGACCACAATGAGACTCGAGTTGATGTCACACAATTGAAGTTAATGTCACACAGACTCGAGTTGATGTCACACAGACACGTGCCATGCGCACGAGCGATGTCACACACGAGCTAGGATGTCACACTAACAACCACAGAGACCCACAATCAATGTAGGGACTCGTTACACAACTGATGTCACAAACACTACTGCAGCGCCCTTACTTGTACATCGTTACAGCTTGTCACAACCTTCGTTGTTATTTCTTAATTACACACACACATACTGTACACATATATGCACATATACATATATATACATATAACTTGAATGTTGTACACACAAATAACCCAAAAATCCTTTTCATTTATGTTTTTCTTCATGGTTCCTTATCATCATTGTTTGACTTAAATCTAAATGTAACACCAATGTCTTATATAATTACCGTGAAATATACTAAGACTTATATACGTTCACTTAAGATAAAGACAAAGTAAAAGTTAATGAATCATCAGAATTATGAATCTGTTAAGCAAACCTTTATGATTATTTACTGAAGTTAATTTTGCGATATGGTTGATATTTGATATACTATGGTGTCACTGGTATAGGAAAATCAGCTGTTAGTTATAATCACTTGCGTGCGTGTCCGTGCGAACGCTAACTACCCGTCCGCCCAGACCAAACATTACGACACTGTCCGGGTGTTTTGAAACCTTCGCTCACTGGGTGCGCGGCCTCCCTGTTCGAAAGGAACGCTCACAGCCACATACACGCAGACCGAAGCTTTATAACACTGTCCAGGCATTTAAGACACTTCACTCAAACACACAGCACTCGCTATCACTGTCTCCCTGCAGAAGATGCATCCACCCACTGTGGGTGGGTGGGCCATCGACGAGCCTATGCTCTCCCACGCTGAACTCTGGCGTTGGTCCTTTGACGGTCCTCCCGTATACGTTTTGACTGTTAACGCTCATAGGAGCGTTATTGGTTTGTTGCTGAAGAAATAAACCCTCAACGTTGACGCGTACCATATAATTTGGTCAAAACCTGTTAAAGAACAATTCACATATAACAAATGCTGTTATCTCAGGACACATAGTATGAATAATACAATTAATATATAGAACATAGCCTGTTAACATCTTAAGTATAACTCACTTGTTACATCTGTTGATACATCAGGAGACAAGTTGTATAATATGATCAAATTACAGTACATAAATACTGTATACTTGAAGTTATTTAGAGTTTATATTTACGTTTTAGGGTCTTGGGTTCGACCAGCGTGTTGTTTCTTCTGCAAGAATTGGTAGACTACTGTGAGCAATCGCCACCCAATCGCAGCCCTAGGCGAGGGTCATCTGTTTTATATTAGATACGACCAACAAACACGTTGTCAGCACTGCCCCCCCTTCTCACCCTCTCTCTCTCATGTTTATCTTACTGTGATGGTAACACTACTAATTCACCACATTTACTACAGGCAGTTCTATGATACCACTTAGAAACTAGATATAGTGACAATCTGCATGTGCAGAGGATAAAAAATTTCTTCTATGCAGACAATTTACTAGGGACAACTAATATTTAAATTAAGTTAGTAGAGCTCAATCAAGCAGCTAAAGTAATAATGGAAGATGCTCTGATAACCCTACAAAAGTGGCACTCAAATTAAAAAACCCTTAGTGATCTATTAAGACTTGACTATCAAGATGAACAACACCTTAACCAGGTAAAAATATTAGGATCCATGTGGGACATGACTACTCATGTGATTAGCATAAAGAAAGTAAAGTGGAGAGATGTTCACACCAAAAGAGAATTATTGAGTAAATGTTGTAAAATTTATGGCCCGCTAGGACTTGTAACTCTTATAATCATACAGTTTAGGACGCTGATGCAGGAGGTATGGAAATTGAAAGTAGAGTGGGATGAATACCTACCCAAGGAAATATTTGTCAAGTGGGGGGTATGTAAATTAAATGCCAAGGACATATCATGAATGAAATTCCCTAGAATGACCTGTAAAGAACAAGTAGACCACAACATTCATATCTTCTGCGACGCCAGCCCGAGAGCCTTTGGCGCTGCGGTGTACTTAGTGAATAAAATGGGAACCCCCATGATCCTCACTTCTAGACTTAAGAGTGGCACCTACTAAACCAAGGACTTCACCTCAATTAGAATTATTAGCAATTGTTTTTAGTAGTTATATATGTGTATGTGTATATGCTGCTTTTATTGATTTTATGTACATAACAACAACAATAAACCACCAGAGTAAGAGTCAGTATGTGGCTTCTCATTCTCCCATTAAATCATGTAAGATACTATACTGGCGACGAGGATGGGATTCACAAAGTGTTGGTGAAGTCCTTGAAGAGAGGATAGTGATCACTGAAGGGAAGGCTACTCTGAACCTGGAGAATTTAAGTGAAGAGAGCAACCACGGCTGGCGTCAGTGGATACATGAGACGAGTGGGGAAGCATGATGCAGACAAGGAGAACTTCACATCATATTGCGAAAGAATGGACTTCTTCTTCCTGGCAAATGAATTAATGGATGACGGTGGTGATGCTCAGAAGAAGGCCCTTGAAGAGAAAAGGAAAGCAATCTTTTTGTCAGAGGTACTGTAGGAGTTAATGTTTATTCTACTCTGGTCAATCTGCTTGCTCCAAACAAACCCAAAGACTCTTCACTGATTCAGATTACCAAGATTCTGAAGCAACATTTTGATCCTGCTCCACTTGAGATTGCTGAAAGTTACAAATTTGGCATAAGAGATAGAGGGAAAGATGAATCAGTAAGTGATGATATACTAGCTTTGAAGAAGTTATCCATTCACTGTAACTTTGGACAGTTCTTGAACCGAGCTCTAAGAGACAGGCTTGTGATAGGTCTGAATTATGAAAAAATACAGAATTAGTTAATGAACACCACTAACTTAACTTTTGAAAAAGCATGTCAGATCGCAACAAGCAGAGAAAAACACCAGAGTAGTTGTTCCCAATACCGGTTGTGAAACAGTTGGCAGTAGTGGCTCAGTGTGTAAAGTAACTGTAGCTAAAAGGAAGAATTTTGCCACAAGGTGCTAATGGACACATGACGGTCAAAGGGAAAGTACGTTGTCATGGCCACTGCCATCCGACCAGACGTCACCTCACCATGACACCCCTAGGTATGTGGCCGCGTCATGTCTTCCCACACCCACACCATACCCTTCACGGCTTCATGGTTAATCAATTCAAGCTTACAGAGTTCTCCTGCACGACACCCGTCTACAGTGACCGTGATCGACACGAGACTAAGTGTATTAACCTAGGTTTGTTATCCCCGTGGAACTATCACTTGTGGAAGCCTGGTTGCGACAAAAGCAATCCAGGCTGGTCTATTGCACCTATGTGGTTAAACAAGTCACGCTTACCAGTTCTCCTGGCTGCGACAACCGTCTACAGTGACTGTCAGTGGCACGAGACTATGTGCGGTAACCCAAGAGTACTTTGTTGTTATTACCCGTGGAAAGAAGTTCTTGTGTGGAAGCCTGGTTGCAACAAAAGCAATCCAGGCTGACAGTAAATGTATCACTTGAAGAATTAAGGCTCTGAAAAGTCATACCCATAGTAGAGTAACCACATGTGTTCCCAAGTTGAAAATTTCCTCTTTTAGAAGATTAATTTTATTACAGCATGAATGTGAGTGACTCGTATATCCATGCAAATTGTAAATCATTGTATGGAAGCTTCACAAATAAATGTACGTGCAATTCTCTGCCAGTATCTGTGATCCTATCTTATTATTACAAAAGGTAATGACTGATTGGTTATGACAAAGTATAACCAATAACTTAGATGGATGTTGGAAATTAATGGAATTCATTAAATCATCATATAGTATCTAGTATAAATCATGGAATGTCGATTGGTGGAGTGAACGTCTACGTAGATACACCATAATCTCCTGTAAGTAACCAGTGTGAAATATAAGAAACACAATATATTATAATCTTTATATAATATAATCCACTTTTACACCACTACGATAGGCAAAACCATGACACTGTCAGTCCCAAGGATTAATTAACATTGCACAACATTCAGTTTATAGTTCAACAGAGGAATCACAAATAATTTCTTATACAGTATTATCACACAAGCAGCAAGACTGGCTAGTAGCCAAAGGCTCAGACAAATTAGGTGGAGCAAATTTTTTCTGACAACACATGGGTTGAAAATGTGTACAAACTTTGAAAAAATTTAACGAAGAGGCAATCAATTGTTGGAACATCACAAGATAAGTTGTGTAAGATGATTGATAGTACAGGTTGTGGCAAAATCTTCTTTAAGTTTTTGAAGAGCTGAAGAAATTACTTGGACATAGTTTGCAGTGATAGTATCCAGAGTTTTCAATAATTTTTACCCCTTGGCTCAACCTTGGACAGAGGGGTATTCTCATTTGTCATGCATGAGCACTATCTGCTTGTTCCTTTCTGCTCATAATCAATATATCATGAAGAAATGGCTTTAGCTAACGAACCTTTCAAGGAAACTTCACCATACATTGATAAAAATGTGGTGAGGTATATTGCACCACTTTGTGATGTTTGTTCAACTACGTATATAATGCTCTTTTGATTTATCTCTAAAATACTGTACTAGGTCACTCATCCTTAATGGAAGTACTGTAGAATGTAGCTTTCGCTCACCAGTTTCAGCAGAGCTACAAAATTTCATTGTTATTAATCTGCTTCACCAACAGGTCCAACAGTAACAGCTAATGCAAAAAATGAATCTCATTATCTAAAACAACCTAAATACCGGTAACTTGTGTACTATGAATACTGTACTGTACTTGTACTTTCATTGTTTCTCTTGTCATCACCAACAGTACTGTATAAGTTTGTTTCAGTGAATAAAGAAAATGCTTTGCTTTTCATTAATTTTTTTTTATATATTTAAGCACATATAAACATACCTTCTGAATCAATCATAACAGTAGGAATTTATTTATATAAACTGCCTTAATTTTAAAGTAAATGTATATTTATTACAGTAAATCAGTATTATTGTATATGACAGTTTATATTTTATTTTCTAACCACATATTAACGCATAATTGTAATGTCTTTGAAAATGTATAAACTTTCATTTTAAATCATTCATATTTCCATTTACATGCAGTCTAAGAAGGCTAGTACTACAGCTTTTTGTCAACTATGCCTCTAATTCCCCACCATGAACCCAGGAGAAATTAGTGACAAAAGAATACCTTCCTTCTGAGAATGCTTCTGCTTCTTCCAAGGCAGTATTTCTTTGGGTTACTTGAGTAAATGATGTACTACTCATCTCCTTAGCCTGCACCAAGTGATAGTACCCTTTTAATAAAATTTCTTGTACATAAACATTACCTAAAATCTGAAATATCGTTGTATTACCCAATATTTTCTGTATAATGATCTTTAGTATCAGGGCTCTGTTCCTCATCTCCATTACTAATAATCTTCCCAGTCTTAATTATGCTTGCATCGTCTCTCTCGACACCATTCACAATATGAGTGTTAGTTCCATTTATGCATTGTTCTGTTCCATGTGGTGCTGCTTCTGCCACCTTCATCACAGGGACCACTCGATACTGCTCCAGGTCTCCTTCATCTTCATCCTCAGCTTCATCATCACTTCCCTTGTCCTGGTGTCCAGCTCCTCGGTAATTTTCCAATCTTGATGCTGCACGCCCTAACGGGGTTCTTCCCTGTAAATATAATATAACATTAATAAAACTTTAGGACAATGAACACGTCTATTTATCCTATGCAGATCTATTTTTCAGGAAATAATATCTATTAGGTGCATACTGTACTCATTTTTCATTCAACTTAGCTATGCTATACAGTGTATTAATAAATCAATGAGTGCAAAACTCATTTTGGGTCAAGTAATATCATGAGTGCATCATCATCACTGTTTTATGGCCATTTTTCCATGCATGTGTGGGTTTGCCATGATTATCTGATGGCATAGTGTCCTGGTTGTCAGCAGGCATTTTTATTTATTATTATTATTATTTTTAATATTATTATTACCCTGTATTATTATCATTTTATTTTATTTTTTATTTTATTTTTACGGGGATTACCCCCCCCCCCCCCCCACAGGCCACTGACCCACATTGGGACCTGGGGGGCCAAAAAAAAAAATATATAATATTAATATTAATATTATTATTATTATTATTATTATTATTATTATTATTATTATTATTATTATAATAATAATAATAATAATAATAATAATAATAATAATAATAATAATAATAATAATAATAATAATAATAATTACAGTATTATTACTGTATTATCATTACCCTATTTTTTGGCAGGGAGTATTTAGGAAGAAACATTCATGTGTATTTTCGTCCTATAGCCATAGTTTTCTTAAAATAAAAAATACAGTACCAGTAAATGCGAGGAATAAATAAAAAAATATTACCAATAAATAAGTAATAAAAAAAAATACTGTAAAGCCAAACCAGTAAATAAAAGCCAAATGAAAGTTTAACACAGTTGCCATTTGCATAAACTTCCTGGTTCACCATAGCAATGCAAATGATACTTCCACCGATTCCCTAGCAACTCTCTCCCCCCCCTCCCCACACGTCCCACCTCCTCCTGCTCCCCCAGTGAGACAGCTAACTTGTGTGCAAAGAAATGTATACTGTATTCTCTGTGTTTGCCCTCAGGACAATATTTATTTCTTTACTGTTTTCACAATATATATGTAGGGTGGTGTGTGCATGAAGAATGTTACATATTTTGTTTATCCCAAAATACGAGATGAAAAACAACCATAACACTAGTAGCCTGGTGATTATAGTGACGAGTCTAGCTTGGCTACAAAGCTGCCAGCTATGTTAACAGATGCAAATGTGAAAAGGAAGTTATATGTAAATCTTCAATTGTATCAGGTATTTGTAGATTTAAAAATAAATGTTGCAGGTATGGCAATACAAGTGTTCAGAAAAGGTTACTGTTTAGCTACCTCTGAAGAGTTGGGTGTCTGCCGTACGGACATTAATCGACTCAGGTTTTCATCATCAGCACAGTAGTTATAAATTGAGATTTTATATTTACAATAATATTTAAATTAATTAAAAATAATAATAATACTGGGTAGAGTGTTTTAGTAAGCAAAAACATAATTTTAATTCTGGAGTTGGGTTAGGTAGAATTTAGCCAACTAGAGACAGCAACTGGGGGATTCATTAGCTTACGGGAGACCTCAACTTCACATATACAGTACAGTTGGATACAGGTTGATTTTTTTTGCCATTTTTCAAATAAAAATGTACGTTTTATATGCCGTAAAATACAGAAATAAAAAATGTTAAGTAAAAATTTAACATAAAATAATAATAATAATAATAAAGAATAAAAAGAAAAGGAAAAAAAGATTAAGAGTGAGAAACAATATGTGTATGTTGTGTTGTCAAAGTAAGAGAAACAATTGAGACCCTGCAATTGCGTGTAAATGAAGCAGAAAGTCAGATCAGCAACCTGGGACTTGGTCACAATTTTTGTAATGCCATATGGCAGCAGGGTCTACCATTAGACAACACATTAGGCTTCCAATATCTTCCCAGGCAGTGGTACCTCCCTGTTTGATAGCTGCAAGTTTTACAGCTGGATGCCCTTCCTATTGCCAATCCACATTTACAAAGTGGGAATTGGGCATTATAGGTAGGACTTTCCAGTGATCTCTTAGTTGGCAAAAAGGTTTGAGATATTATCATCACCGAAGGAAACAGAAAATGTTTGTAAAATATCTATCTCTACCAGCATGATAAAGTTTGAGAGGATGAATGGCTATACAGAGAGAAAAAAGCTCCCTATCAATAGCAGTGGGGCATAAAATTTTTAATTTGATTCTACAATTCCATTGCCAAGCCTGGATCCGGCAAATCTTGTACACTATATTCAGACAAAATTAACTCCTGTTGTCATGGTCACGTTGACTGCTAGTCTGTTTTAACTACTGATTCTTATTATACTCCACGAATGCAAAACATGAGTGGGTTAGCTATCCCTAGGAGAAGACGTGTTTTTCCCCATCGATGCTTATACTCATGATCCCTCCCAGTAAGTCTCGCCTTCGAACACAGTTGTCATTGCGTGAGTAGCGATCGCTGGCAACTCGGGGGTATATATGCCAAGGCAGAAAGGAGAGACATCCTCCTGTGACGCTCTCCCGTTTGTCCCCAGGTATGTACTGCATATGTGTTCCTAAGCCATTCAGTTTGATTCAGTCAATTGTAGTGAATTATCAGTGTTCATGCTTTAAACAGTTGAATTGCCATTCACCCAGTGCGAGAAGTATTATAAAGTAAATGTCGTCTGACGTTGCGAGACGAAGGATTTGTTTGTGTTGTCATCATGCTTCCCAGTCCCTCCCATGACGCTCTCCCGTTTGTTCCCAGATTCCAGGGTGGGCTTATCTGAACACCCCATCGGCTGCTGAGCCGGTAGGTACCCCGCAGGGAACAATATATGCATTGATGTCGGTGATTCAACATGATTGAAATGGCAGGTCCACCTCGTGGGCCGAGGGCCCCAGACCCGCCTCGTGTCAGTGTGTAACCGACCACAACAGCAGTCGTCAGTTGTTAGAGGCGCCAGTGTTATACCCTGGGACATGCCTTGGAGTTATGGTCCACAGTGTGGCTTTATGTGTTTGTTATAATTACCCCATGTTGGGTAGTGGACCCATGTATTTGTTGGTATCAGTATTAACGTGTTGTGTGAGAGTGCATCTCCTATGCACTGCCAACACTCTGTTAAGTATCTTAAGTAAGGTTGTCTTATAACTGGATGTAATGGAAAGTACCTCGTAATGTGTGAGAAGTAAAGTTGTAGTGCGTAGTGAGTAGGGCCAAGGAACTGGTCCTGCTATGTAATGTAATGAAACAACAGAAAGGTTGTGTGCATTAAGAAAATTTGAGTCTGCAATAAGCGAGGAGTGCACCTTGAAGTTATATGTTAATAATATCTCTTTTTCTCTTTGATTTCATATTAATATACCTGTTCTTAGAGTATTTTAGGAGTATTCATTTTTCCCGACAGTATTTAACCTTTATTTCCGTCCAAGTGACTTGATCTCAGAATTACAATACCCATGTGCCCTAGACCCTCGACATGCTACCAAAAAGAACTAAGGTTATGCAGTAACCATTGAAGTAAGTAGAAAGAACCATTGAATTAAAGAACTAAGACAAGAGAAGTAAGAGTAAAAGTAAGGCAGAGTATGAGTAGAGAGAAACCGCCGCCGTTACATTGGTGGCAGCTTGTTAACCTTCCCCCCCCCCCCACCACCGTTACACTGTGCCATAAAGGCTGTTCAGAATCCAGAAACTGAAGAAATGGCTGCAGAGAAAATTTTCACAGTTCTGGAACCATGCTTAAGGAAAATGATCTGGTTTTACTCAACAGCTACCATCAGGTAATCATGGGTAACCCATGCAGTGTGGAAATTTGCTATAAAAGTTGATGATGATAGCTTAAAATAACAACGCTCTCCTTGCAGCCAGGTAACAAGTGGGACTCTGCTTGGAAATACCTGTAGTACCAACTACAGGCCCATGCACTCTACCATGATCCCAACTTTTGCAGTGGATATGAACAAAAACATAGGAACAAATGATTTTTGGTCGTATTGGACCAAAGAATTTCCTCATACAATTTCTGTATCACCTTACCCTTGGAGTCTGCAGTAAGAGCTCTCCCCCCAAAAAAGTATGCATGAGTTTACAAAGACAATACTTATAGAGAAAAAACTTGATTTCCTTCCACATATCTCCACATCCTTACATTATGAAACACTCTGCCAACAGAATGGAACAAATTTGAAGCTTATTTAAGTGAATAAAACTGGATGTGATGGTGGTTGTGTGATGGTAAGACTCACAACTTTTAATCTTTAATGGAGGCTTTTATACCCATCAGTTACTTTAGACCCAGGAATAGAGTGTAAATAAATACTGTGCAGTATTACAATTAGTTCCAGTCAATTTTCAGATATTTGGAACCCTCGGTTTTTTACTTTTTTACTTAACCAACTATACATAAGTCACCTGAAGCAGGTAGGTGGCTGTAAGATACACAAACAAGGGGTAACTGATAATAAATAAATACAAATCAAATACCTTATCTCTTTTTCAATAGCAAAAATCTTACATTTGAGCTCTCTAGCTGATCATCATTCCCATTCGAGGCCTCAGATATGTTGAAATTGTGAAGAGGTAGTGTTGCCAACCATTTCAGCATTGGCTTCTCCTTGATCTCTGTTTTAACTATCGAGGAATCGATGTATAATTCACGGAACTCCTGAATCTTCTGTGCTGCTTCATCCCAATTCAGTGGCTGTTAAAACAATAAAATAAAGTGTTTATAAAGATCTTAATATACTGTATATACATAGGGTCCCAGTTATTCATTGGCATAGTGTCCTAAAAAAATGGAACATATACTGAAAAAATGACTGTAATAGTGAGGAATTTTGCCCCATAACAATTAATGGAATATGGGAGGAGGGGTACAGTACATTCCAATTCCAATCATATGGAGAAAAAAAGAAGATTCTTTCTTAAGAAATAATTGAAAAAGGTGGGTTATGTTCAAAGTTGTTACCACTGTACCCTATCATATCTAAACAAAGAATGCGCACTTTACTGAAGCCAACTAATCGTAATTAGGGAACAAAGAGTGCTAAGCAAGAGACCCAACATACAAGTGATGCAAACTGCATTCTCACCACTTTCAACTCTTTTAAAACTTCTACCTTAACTCTAATATCTAGGATTTTGGTCCCTCTTTTGCTCAGGCTCACTCTTCGTACTTAACACACCTGTAATAGCACTTTAGTATTATATAAAATTATACCTTGCACGCGCACGCACGCACGCACGCACACACACACACACACACATGTAAAAAAATGAATATGGTTGCTTGAAGTACCTGTAATGTTATTTAATGTTAATAAATGGAACAATAAGTAGCTAACCATTAATGGTAAAAAAAAAAGTGAGACTGCTCGTGTTCATGTTCTGGGTAATAAGTTCAATATACAGGAGCGAACACAAACACCTGTATAGATTTTGTAGGTTCGATTTACTGGATAAGAGATATGTACACAAGGGGAGTAGTGCTCTCCGACCTGTCTGCTTGTCAACTGCTCTATAGACGACGTATGGCAAGTGAGACATTAACAGCTTCCATACGTCGCCAGGCACATTAATTAAGCATGTGGGACATGGTAATAACATTGCCACACGCTGCTAGCTAGGCTGAATAAATAATATATATAAATGGAGCACATACATCATATACATACATAATATATAATACAGCATACCTAATACAGAATATACATACACCTCCCTCCCCCCTATACGCTCATAGCAAAGTCTTCAGCGGACCTTTTCTTTTGGATCCGTTCTGAGCGTCGAGGGACTAGATCACTGGGAAGGGTATGGGACTCAACACTGGTGGCGGGGTCAGCAGAAGGCATTGTTACGGGGCGGAGAAAACGGCGGTTCCTCCACCACACACGACCACTGGGTAACCGCACCTGGTAGTCCCGTGACCTACCGAGACCCATGACTACGCCTACTTTGTCCCAACGTAGGGAGGTCGGGTCCTGAACACGGACTTGGGTGCCGACACTCAACCTGGGGAGAGAACGGGCGTGGTCGTTGTAGCGGGCGACGACGTCCTGAACACGTTCGGCGATCACAATCCTCTGTCTTGGCCTGCCACTCCTTGGAGAAGGATTGAGGGTGAGCAGGGACACAAGAACGAAGGGGGCGTCCATACAAAACCTGGGCAGGGGAGCGCCCGGTGTAGTTAGGTGTGTTGAGGAGTTCAAGAAGACCCCGGTCGAAGGCCTCGCAGTCAATGTTCCCAGAAGGGGCCACCTTAAGGATGAGGTGCTTCAGGGATTTGACAGCAGCCTCAGCGTGGCCGTTGGACTGCGGGTAATGGGGCGATGACAACACATGCCGGACTCCCCATCGGTCGAGGAACACAGCAAAGTCCCGGCTTGTGAACTGAGGCCCTCCGTCGGTTTGCAAGCTCACAGGAACGCCCACGTCACGGAAGTAGTGGCGGAACTTGCTGATGGTGGCGGCAGACGTCGTGTCATTACCGCACTTGATGACAACCGGCCAACCAGAGAGACGGTCGACGATAACAAGGAAGGACTTTCCTGACACAGAGAAAAAGTCGGCCGACACAGACTCAAAGGGGCAGGTGGGGTTGTCGTCACTCATAAAGGGTTCCTGCTGCTGGCTGGGTTGTAGTACATGGCGGGGCTTACACACCTGGACAGCATTGGAGATGTCGGGGTCGATGCCAGGCCGGAACACAGTCTGTCTTGCATGCCGTTTGGTGGCCTCGGCTCCACAGTGACTGTCGTGGAGGTGAGCCAAGGCGTGGAGACTTGAAGCAGCAGGGGCAACTACGGAAGGAGAGGTGTCACTGGCCAGAGGTAGAGGTAGGGCGGCAGCAGGGTAGTTGCTGCTCCTTTCGTGCACCCTGTTGGCGTATTTTACCTCGAGAATCGGTGTTGGGAAGTCCTGGGAGATGATGGCCAACTCTTGGCAATGTCTGTAGGACAGCAAAGGAGTCGGGACACCATTATGCACGTCAATCCAGGCCTGACACGACCTGTTGCCAAAGGTGACATGTGCATAGAGTGAACCCAGGGCCGTGGTCATCTGTGAACCATCTGCCGTAACGCAGAGGTCCTTGGGAGGCGGTCCTAGATTGCTTGGAGAGAGCCCCAAGCATTGCAAATGCTGGGGACCGATGACTGTAGCATCAGCGCCGGTGTCAGGCAACATCTGAAGACGGGATGACACACTGCCATAGGTCACGATGACACTGATGTACTGGGGAACTTTGGTCATGGGACGTGAGGAGTACACCCTCCTAATATGGGTCGGGCTTTGTCCAGGGTCGTCGTGCCTCTGATTTGGCGACTGTGGGCGGCCCTCTCTGGTAGAAGGGCGCTGAAGCTTCCGCCGACGCTGTCCCTTGGGTTTGTGGGTAGGGCAACACTTGTCATAGTGGCCCAGACGACCGCACACATTGCACTGTACGTACTTAGCTGGGCACCGCACTGTGAGCGACCAGTGGCCCTTACGGTCACAACTGTTGCAGGTAGACTGAGCAGCTGGACACACCTGTGTTCCGTGCTGCTTACCACAGTTGTTGCAAAATGAACCGGGCGTGGACGTGGTGGGCGAAGGCGTAGGAGCAGACTTCTTGTCCTTCTTGTACCGGGACACAGCGCGTACAGCTGTAGGGGGAGCTCGGATGGCAGAGGTGGCACACCTGGCAGCCTCATAGGAGCGACATATCGTCAACACATCCTTGAGAGAAGAGGAAGAGTCGAGGGAGGTGAGGCGTTGGACAAGTTCCTCGTCCTTAACACCCATCAGGATCACCTGCTTCAACTGGGTCTCCTCGCACTGCTGGTGGTGGCCTAGACATATATCTACCTCTTCCGAGGCTCTCTTAAGACGTACATAAAAGGCGTCAAAAGTCTCACCCTCCATCTGTCTGCAGCTAAACAATTCCCTCCTGCGCAGAGCTTCATTCTGCTGTCCTTTGATGTGCCGTTGTAGAATGTCCAGTACCTCCTCTACAGACAGCGAAGAGGTCGGAGGTACCTGCAACGTATGTTCTAAGACACGCTGAATTTCCAAGGACAGGCACATACGCAGCTGGATGAGTTGTTTAGGCTGTGACAAACTCTGGAGATCCACCATTGTAGAATAATCAGTCCACCGTCGCCGCCATTCACGAAAAGTCTGGAAATTCACATCAGGCTTCAAGATGGGCGGTGTTTGAGCTGCTGCTTTAGGTGGGGCTGGGGGGCGTGAAGGAAGCATTGATGAGGTATCTGAACCAGTCAGTACCGAGGCAGTGTTAGAGCCAGGGGCTTGGTTAACAGTGAGGCGAGATATCAAAGCTTCAAACCGTGCCTCTGCTTGCCTTCTGTGTTCATCCGCCACACGTCTGTTAGCTTCATCCTCGCGCCTTTCATCTCTCATAAACTTCATTAAAGCAATTATCTCTGGAGACAACGCTGAATATGGAGGTGAAGGGCTGCGCGATGTTGTGGGAGCTGGAGCGTCATGGTCAGCCTCGTCATCCATCTCTGCGGAGCTATCATCCGACTGACTCATCCGGGCGTCGGGTCCACGGCTACGTAAGGCACGAGACATAACTACTTCATCTGTGTACTGTGTCTTAAATCAGTGTTGACCGGTCAGCCCGTCGTATCAACAAGATCTCAGACAAAAAATTAATTAAATACACAGATAAGTAGATTATATATATAAAATATATATAAGGGAGCCGCCGCGGTCAGTGAGTGTTAGTACATGTATGTGTGTGTGCGTGAATCTGGGTGGGAGCAGTCTTGCTGGGAGGGAGAGGAGGGAGAGGCGGCGACTCACAGTCAGTCGCCAGTTACAGGGTACCCTCTGGACGCGGTCAGAGGAGGGTGCACTGAACTCTACTCCCCACAAATCCCCTGAACATGCCTTACACCTTGGGAATCCTTTAGAACAAGGTCACACATGTATGGCACGAAACACACAATGCACTAAACACTTCACAGAAAATCACTGTCACTGACACTGCTCAAAGTTGCTAAATTCTTCGAGGACGGGCGGCGGTTGACACAGGGCAAGGGGTCCATAAGCCGGCTTTCCACAAACTTTGCACTGTCACTCGTAATTATCCAGTAAAAGTACACACTGCGCCATGTTCATGTTCTGGGTAATAAGTTCAATATACAGGAGCGAACACAAACACCTGTATAGATTTTGTAGGTTCGATTTACTGGATAAGAGATATGTACACAAGGGGAGTAGTGCTCTCCGACCTGTCTGCTTGTCAACTGCTCTATAGACGACGTATGGCAAGTGAGACATTAACAGCTTCCATACGTCGCCAGGCACATTAATTAAGCATGTGGGACATGGTAATAACATTGCCACACGCTGCTAGCTAGGCTGAATAAATAATATATATTAATGGAGCACATACATCATATTCATACATAATATATAATACAGCATACCTAATACAGAATATACATACAGCTCGTATGTAAGTGCGCACATGTGAAAATATATATCGCCATTACTCTACATAAGAATATGAAAGCAACACTTATTTACTGCTCATATATATTGAAGGGTTAAATGTTGTACTCTGTATAAACAAGCAGAGAGAGAGAGAGAGCAGCCGAACTGCCGGATGTAAACAAACCTTAATTTCCGGCGGCTTTTTTTTTTTAAGGGGATTAGCCCACCCGGGAATAGGTCACTGACCCATATTAGGGC